AACCATGTTGTACAACAGAATATTAAAAACTTATCCAAGTTTTTAAAACAGATTTGACGTTAGGTCGTAGAATAACATTATAAGTTTATTTATAGATAGTTTTAAGTAAAGTAAAGTTTAGTCATAAATAAACTAAAGTTAAAAAAAAAAAAAGGGTACACAGGTTACAGTGTTAATTTATCTCTTTATCGAACTTAGGCCTAACATAAGTTAAAGTTTTATAAAGTACGGCGTATATACAAGTGGATTTACACATTTGGTATTGTGCTAAAAATATTATATTTAAAGAAGTACTGTTACGATAAAGATACTAATTTGGCCGGAAAGGTTGGGCGGGTCTCTGCTAGTGATTACTATTATACTTGTCATAAGACATTAGTATTAGGCCTATTACACTTTTAAACACTACATTCTTTAGGGATTTTCAGGAATTATAACACTATATTCCAACCATACTATGTGCGTCATATCCATTACCAACGATGCGTTTCTCTCAATCCAGAGCTCTTCAGGCCGGCTGGTATACAACAAACACAACAGTAGTCGGAACACTATTTATATAAGCCATTTGACACAACAACAGTTGTTACACTTTCTATGCCTTTTACAAATCGACGAATAATGATTATAATTATACTTGTTCAGGATGTTAATTCCATTTTCATTTGCAAATATCCATTTCATAAATGATATGACAACATTACAACTGAGACAAGTTCAAATTATATACAAGCCTAAAAAGTGTTAGAAGGAATAGAATGAAATCTTGTTGAACTCGTGACATCCAGCAGTTCTTAGGATTAAGTCGATTATCCATATTAGAAATAAGACGGTGTAGACTGACTAAAACGAATTTTTAACTCTTATCTCACCTCTTGTGCAAACTAAAAACGAGTCGTAATCCGGATACATCGTCGTAGAGAGAGAGATGCCGGTAAAGAAGAGCGCTGCGACCTAGACAACTAAAAAAAAATCACTATCCTTCGGTCATGGGGAAAAGGTATGAGTGTGTGATTTTTACGTAGCTTTATTACTTATTAAGTTATTTCTGCTACCAGAACTAAGACAAAAGAAATTGATAATAGATTCCGTTTGGAGTAGGAGAAATTAAAGCAAGTTGAGTTGCATTAACATACAGATAAATTGATCTTGGAGCTAAAAAAAGGGAGCTCGCAAGAAATATGGTATAAGAATTAAGAAACAAAAATTTGAGAAAGAGAGAGAGAAAAGGTGATTGGGTTGAAAGACGACAGAAAGCAGAAGCAGAGAGAGAGAGACAAAAGAAGAGTAGAAATGAAGAAATTATTTGTTTGTTGAATTTCGCGCAAAGCTACACGAGGCTGTCTTCACTAGCTGCCTCCAATTTAGAAGTGATATACTAGTGTGAAGGTAGCTAGTCAACAACACCCACCGCCAATTCTTAGGCTACTCATTATCAATGAATAGTGGGATTAACAGTCACATTATAATGCCCCCACGGCGAAAAGGTTGAGCATGTTCGGTGACGGGATTTGAACCCGCGACCCCAGATTACTAGTCAAGCGCCCTAACCACCAGGCCATGCCAAGCCCAAAAAGAGAGATCAAAGGACAACGTAGAACATTTTTCTACAGCGTTTGAGATTAACTTGTTTTACAAAGAAGCAATCCATGTGTTTGTTTACATCATTTTTAGCAACTCTAAACAGCAAGAAGTCAAAAAGTTTAGGCACACGACCTTAGAACTCATGCGTGTTAAAAATGTTCAGTTTCTGTTTGCTTCTAGGTTTTCAATAAACAAAGCATAAATAGAAAAAGAAATACA